AACGTAAGATAAAAAACAGATTTGAAGACTCACTATATTAATCAACTTTTTTGTCACTGAAAACACCCAAAACCCACAACTTAAAGAAGGACAGGTTTAATTTGATTATGGTTTTGGCCCATGATTGTCTAGAGCCAAGGCTGAGACGTCACGGTGGGAGGTGTGGTGGAGCAAAACTCCTTAGTTCATGACAGAGTGGGGGAAGGAGGCCTGACAGATGGGGCAAGGGACCAGGCCCATAGGCCACACCGCTAAGACTGCCCCTCTGGGACCCAACCAGACACACCTGGAAATATGCTCCTTCCATCCCAGGGATGGATCACAAAGTCAATCAAGTTGAAATTCACTTAATCACCACACTTAGCACATACCACAGTTTAGATAGAGACTGTGGTCACAAGGTTGCCTAAAATTAGGAAACCTAAGTCAAACACCAATGAAATGCAATTGGTTTTCCTAACATCTAAATTCCCATGTTGACCTGAACATAAATGAAGATGAATCAAAATACATTTACACTATTCTAGTAGAGTACGTGGGAAAGTACAAATGCTCTTTTTTTCTTTTGATACCGGGGATCAAACTCGGGACCTTGCACTTGCGAGGCAGGTGGCAGAACCACTGAATTAAATCCCTGGCCGCAAAATGCTCTTAAATACAAGAGATCTGATATTTTTCCAAGCAATGTTTTACATTCTGAAAAATAAATTAGCAAGAAAATAGTATATTTTCTTGAGCATATTTATTGAGCATCAGTAATTCATATTCAAGAGTAAAAGCAGTTCAGAGTGACAAATTACAGAACACTAAGACTCATATCACAGCAAGAGAAAAGGTCCCAACCTAAAAAAGAAAAGCCTTTTATGTCTATATAATCATCATTAAACTGCCAAGTGTATCATAAATAAATAATAAACAGTATGCAACTGATCACTTAAAAACGATTATTCTGTTAGCAGATTTTTATTCTTTCCCTGGGCATATCTAGAAATCTGTCGTGTCACTAGTATACTGCTTTCCACACACCTGTGATGCCAGCAACAATCGCTCTCTAGAAGACTATACTGTGTGCTCAGGAAAGCAGTGGGTGGTAAGATCTCCAGTCTTAAAAGTGTGATCCTTCTTCATCAGGCCAGCTGAAGGCATAGTTCCCAACCCAAAAGAATGAGAGTTGAGAAGAGTGAACTTCAGGAATGACTGGAGTGCCCAGGGAAGCTGATACTGACTACAGTGGGTGATACCTGCATGATTCAGAGGTACAAAACAGCCATGTTCCATAGTAGCATCAGAATGAAGGCCAGTGGAGGCATGAGTTTAAATTGTGGGTCTTGCTCCTGCCAACTGTGTGATCCAGAGGATAGTACCTAACCTGAGTCTCAGTTTTCCCACCTCCCAAATGGGAGCAGTAATTTCTACTTTACAACATTGTAAAGAATAAATGAGACAACAAATATAAAGCACGTGGCCCAAGTGCTATATGCTCAAAGTCCTGGTAAAGCTCAACACAGCAACACTCAAACTTTATAATATTTCTACATTTAAGAAGAAAGAAAAAAGAAGATACATGATATTGGAGTAGGCATGCTGGATTCCAGTATGCACTTGTTCAAAGCAAGCATAGCAACCAGTAAGATGGGAAGGAAGGCCATATGTTTCCACAATTTAAACCTTTAGAAGAGTGATGGTGAACCTTTTAGAGCTTTCAGTAATAACAGCCTGCTGTGACCTGCCACCGCCGCTTTAGAGTAAGGAATAACTAGCTGCACCTGTTAGCATACCACACAATTCAATGCAATTCAATATTAGAGGATCCAAAACAAACAAAAGTATAGACAGTCTCCCCACCTCACTGAACTGTAACCTGAAATGTGGTCATCCTACAGTGGGCAATCCTGAAATCTAAAAAAAATCTTAAAACAAAAATGAGTGCTTTCATATATAACTTGGCAAAATCACTCCTGAACTCAAACTGGCTAGCAGCTCCATAGCATTTATTATCGCAGTGAGCTTAAACATTTATGCACATAAATTTCACCCAGTGGTTGTCTCAAATTCTAATATGGTATAATATATGGGGTGCTTTAGCTTCTAAAAGTATGAAGTTTTTAAATTCCAAAAAACATGTAGCTCACAGCTTCCAAGTAAGACAATCTGAAAATCTCTACTTAAGGTAGATAAAAGAAGGAAAACTGGTATGTAATGAAGGAGGTAAAGTGCCTAAGGCAAAGACTTGCAGTTAAGAATTTATTTTCTATCCTTCTCAAGGCAATGTTTGCCTTAGAATCTTTAAATATACTATAACATAGTAACAGTAACACTCACATCATTGAGTTCTTGAAGGAGACAAAGAGACAATACACAAGTACTATATAACAGGAGTAGTGTTTAGAAAAGCACTTGAATATTTACTACATGTGATGGTTAAATTTGTGTGCTGATTTGACTGGGCTAAGGAAAACCCAGATATCTGGTAAAACATTTCTGCTTGTGTCTGTGAGAGTGTTTCTGGAAGAAATTAGCCTGGTGTGGGTGTACTGAGCAGAGGAGACATGGTGGGCATCAGTATGAATGGGCATGTTCCAATCCACTGAAGGCCTGACTCGAACAGAAAGTCAGAGGAAGGCAAATTCTCCCTCTTCTGGGGCTATGATATTCATTTTCTCCTGTCCTCAGTCCCAGATTGAATTCAGAGACCACTGGGTCTACTGTTTCTCGAGCCTTTGGGATTGTACAGACACCAACCACCAACTTTTCAGGCCTCCAGATGGGAGATCACGAATTTAGCCTCCCAAATCATGTGATCGAAGCCCTCTCAGTGAATCCCTATATATCTATATCTACCCTACCCATTCTCTTTCTCTGGATAAACATGATCAATACATGAAAGAAAGTAAAACAGATGAATTTATAGCTCAGATAGTCTTGTATCTATATTATATTTTGGAATTTAATTTTTTTTAAATCCAAAAGTTTTCTTTTTCCTAAGTTCAGAAGTACCTCAATTATCAGAGATGGTATTTAGTACAAGCACAAAGGTCGGGGGTTATTTCAGGTGAGCAAATAAGCAATTGGAACTGGTATAGCAGAGTAAGACCCAAAGTTTGTAATGCAATAAAGTATTTTAGAAAGAAAGGAGTTACAAAAGGCTGAGGGGCAGCCCAGAGGAATGCTTTTGAAATTTAATTTACAAAGTAGTCAGCCAGAGTCTCAAAATGCAGATTCTGGGTGATGGGGTGGGACCAGGAATTCTACTTCCAAGGCCTCTGTTAACCACACTGTAGCTGCTCTGGGGTGTAACCAGCGCAGTGGTCCACTACGTACCAGCAGCATCAGTCTAGAACACAAATCTTAGCGGGTAAAGAAATCTTGGAGTTTGTTAACGTAAAACACTGCTTTTATACAAACAGCATGATTATTTTCCCTGACATAAAATACAACACTTTTCAAATATTTAATAAGAAAAACACATTCTCTCTAACAATTTCCAAAGTCATAGTCTCTGAAATTACAGTTAAAATATAGGTTTTTAATATCATAAGACTCTTCAGGTGAACCACTTACTAACTGTTCAAAAAAGAACCCATTCCCATTTTACCTAAGTGTTTCAGATATGGGCTTGTAACAAAATCAAACTGAGATTTATATTTATGTTGAGAGTAAAACCAACTACATCATGGTTTAGCCAACCTCTCTGAAGTAATATTTACACATTGCCTGGTTGATATATAAATATATGTCAACATTTTGATTTATGGTTATAGAAGGTCTGTTTATATACACAAATTACAGTACCCTAATGGTTTGAAACTAAATATGCTTGAAGAACAAAGAACTGGAGTATAAACTGCAAAAACAGTGTCATGATCAGAAAAGAGATTTTTGTTTTCTGCATGTGAAGCCAATTGATAGTTTTATCAAAAACAAGGTGCTAAGGTGTTTACCAAAATTTTTAGAATGAACTAATACATTCAGAATTCAAATTCAGTACTTTTTCTACTTTGATAAATGTTTGAATTTAGAAGTTTACTTCTCAATCAAAACTTGAGCATAATTCTATCCATAATCTAATTTTGATGGTCAATTCCTAACTTCTTATGGTACACTGTATTTGTTTTATGATTTGGAGTAACCACTTCTGATCTTGCTAAGTCTATATATTTAAAACAATGGTTCTCAATTAGGGGCAATTTTATCACCAAGGGGACGTCTGACATTATCAGGAGACTCAATCCAGCAAGAAGTGAGAGAGGAAAGCGTCCTTCCTCTCTAGTGAGCAGAGGAAAAGCATGCTACTATGCAACGCACAATGCCCAAACAAAGTCAAGGAACTGCAAGGGTTATAATGTCAGTATGCTGCATGCTGACATATGGGTTGAGAAATCTGACAGAATGATAGACGATGCAAAACTACAGAAATATCCTTCTGCAGCTTCATTATATTCCTAGCACAGTATTAAGGACAATAATGAGGACTGTGTAGTTATTAATTAGAACAATCTCTGTGTAGCTGGGATGTTAGTTATTGTGCTTTAAAAAAACAAGAAAGGGTTTGTCATATATGCAGTATCTAAAATTACAAAACAAAATGGCAGTCATCATCTGAACAAAAAAGGAATTTAAAAATATTGTTTTCATAGGAAGATGCTGTCTGAGGCAGTGGTAGGACATTTAAGGGATGGAGCAGTCATCTTAGCAGTAAACAGGAGATCCCTTTACAATTCCATTAAAATATCAGTTTTCACTGTTGACTCACAATAGTACCAAGGCCCCATACTTAAATTAAAAGTATTTCTTTTGTAAAAATTAAAATCATTGTGCCCTAAGTGATATTTCATAACAGGAAACAGAATATAATTATTTTCTAAAAACAAATCACAGAACTCAGCGGCCTACAGCAATTTAAGCTTTGCGACAGCTGGGATTTAAAATGTCATGAGAAATTCAGAACAGGCTTACAGTTTTTGAAACATGGGAACTGACAATTACAAGGCCAAACATACCCTTAATAATCGATTCAGCTGCATACAGATCTCGTTTGTAGGTCACCTAGAGGACAAATAAACCTCATTAGACTCAACAGAGTAAGGAGGAATGTGAAAGCAATAAAATAATGCCCCCAAGGAAATTCTTGATTTAGGAGAAACTATACACATATAGCATTGACAATATCTAAATTAGAACAGGATTAGCAAATTCACATTAAATCTATTTCTACACATGACTGAAAGTTTTGTTTGATTCTTTGATTTAAGATATTATTTAGCAGGAATTACTGAAATTTTACTAACATAACTGAAATACTGTAATCAAAGAAAATATGATAGTGTTCAAATAAAAGTGTTAATATTATTATTTAATAGTAAAAGTTTTATATTGAAAAGGACAAAAGGCTCTGTACAACAAAAGAACTCCAAGAATTATTCTCAACTGAAATTCTAAAAGATCTACTCATATTAAAAGTGATTTCCTTCTGAATTGAAGACATCTTTACAAACCCAGATAAGAATCACTTTGCAACATATTTATTAAAATATGGCTTTGATAGAAAGAGTATGTAGAGTACCACTGTATGCCTAATTAAGATGGATACTGTTATTTTAGAAACATACAGCCACCTAATTGTGTCTGGTCATTGTAATGCAACTGGTCACAGTATATGTTTTTTCTCTGTGGCAGATAATTTGCAGGTCTTACTCAGTGAGCTCAGGTAGAGAACAAGAAAGTGCACTGGAGAATTAGATCTTATATTGCAGAAGTGAAAGCTGTAGTAAATTTTTAAAAATGATATTAAGTAAAATAAGGTCATAAAAGCTCATCATTGTAGTACTCACACGATTATGATAATAATCATCTAATTACCCATGGCAACAAATGTTCCCCCAAAATGCACTTTAGTGTACCTATTTTTTTGGACTTTCTTCCTCTGGATTAGCTCATATCTGGATTTCCAGAGATGCTTTGTTTAGATCAGGCAAACCACAGCACTTCTACACAAAATGGATTCCTCTACTCTACCTTCATTTGGCAAGTACATTCTGAACCAAAACTATACCTTACTCTCTCAAAATCAAAGTAGCAGTGAATTCGGTAATACACATAAAAGGTTGCTCAAGAATTCACTCAATCTATTAAAATCTCTGTATTTTCTCTAAAACAAGCACATACCAACCAACATTACTGAATTTCAGTGCTAATTAGTGATCTACAATGTAATTCTGTTATCTGGAAAAACTGATAATAGAAAACAGACATGCTGTACATTTTACCAAAAGTATTGATCTGATTCAGTCTTTCAACAACTATTTATCAAGTTACTATGTTCTAGCCCTAGCTCCAAGTGCTGAGAATAGAACAAGAAAAAGAGCAAGCAAAATCTTTAACCTGTAGAGATTGCAATTTAGTTTAGAACTTTTTGTGTGAAATTGAGTAAAATTAGTTGAATGGTTTTTCTTGAAAATCCAAAGTTAAGTACATATCTGAAGTCATTTTAAATGAGAAATTTTCTCTATAATAGCTGCCTGCTGTATAAACCTACCACAGAAATTAGCTACCATTATTCATTTTCTATCCCCTCCTGTCTTAAGAGATAAAACTATATTCTAAATAAAAATAGTATTATGAAAGTAACTTTTTAAAAGTAGAACTTAATGCTGGATTTTAAAATTTATAGAAAAGCTATTCTCAAATATGAAAATGACTTACAGACTATAGTACTTATAAGACAATTTTTGCATTGGAATTAGTCTTATGTTTAAAATACACATTTTATTACCTAAAAGTTTGCTCTCTTCTAACATTGTCTAAAAGAGAAAAGCTCTTAAACTTATTTTCACTGTCTACTTCATCCTATAGGCCTACCTCCACCACAATTCTCAAAAATACTGATTTAATGAGAATAAAATATAGAACGTATTGTAGAAAAACTTTGGAAGTACACAAATTTTGGAAGAACAGTCTTATTTCTTCCTAAATAAAAAAGCTAGTATACTTCAAAGAGAGTGTTACTGGAAAATGTTGTAATTCTAAATTGATGAGTTATTCATTTTTCTTTTACAGTAATACAGATTGTCCTTTCCTTAGTTTTAATTTTTAAAAGGGCATCCTAACAATCAGTTTTAAAGATGATTGTCTTCTGGTAGCATGATCTGTAGTTTTCCTTTGACTTTGCACAATACACTATTATGAAAAATATTACCCAAAAAAGGGAGGGGATTGAATGCCAATTCTTTCATTGACTTATTTTCAAACTGTGATAGCTAGATCCTTGAGGGCCACATCAAGACATCAAGAATGGCAACAGTGTCTGATGTTCAGTGCAGATGAGATCCCAGCCCAACATCTGCCACTAACCTAATTCAGCTCAATTTTTGTCTATTTTGTTTGATTGGGTCTATATGCAATAATTCATCTAAGTAATATGTTTAGCTGAAAGACAAAATTCAAGAGAAGAGAAACCAGAAGCTCACAGCTACAGACATAATTGCCTTCTCATTGCTAGGCCAGGACTCTCAGCTACCTCAAGGAATCATCTGACTCCAGCTGTGATGATTAAAACTACATCTGGTTACTCTGTCTCTCTACTGAGACACAAAACAGTAAAGCAGATCTTGCAGGACAGAGCTGAGTTGAGTTGGCCAACATCTTCCTTCCCTGAGTAAGACTACATCTAATGTTCTCGGACATGTCACCTCGTAAGATAGTAAGTATGTAACTCTAACACTTAGACCTTTTAAAAAGGCTGTAAATCCTTATATTTTAAACCTATACAATGTTCATTACACACATAGATATTTTTGGAACTTTACTTCCATTTCATCAATTATGTACACCTAGAAAATGCACTTTTCTCAGATAACTGTATGAAAACCTTTAGGAAAGAAACAACATTACCTTATTGTATTGTTGAGGTCAGAAACCAAACAATGATATTTTGTTTCTTTTGTTTTTAAACAAAGATGCCAGATCTAAAAAAACGCAGACCTCATCAAAAGGAATCCTCAAATTGTTCATTTCACTAATATTGTGATGACAAAAACATTTCAGACTCCTCTCAAGTAGCATTTCCGGACAATGAAACACAGTCATTTAATTTCTTCAACAGCTGGTTATAAATCTCCCGCCTTGAAGATGGTTCTGACATTGAGAAACAAGTAGTCTGTTCAATCAAGACTGCACAGTGCAGAGAGTGACCCAGCTAAGTATTTAAACGTGTCTTAGGCCAAAATCAGAGCACAACTATAAATTTTAATTCTTATGAAGACTACACAAAATTTTATCTCAAAACAAAAACGGTTACTGAGACCTACCACAGATGACTACTCAGAGGAAGTTTGAGAGCAGAATGATTTCCGGAAGCGAATGCTCTATGTTTTTTTGTTTGTTTATTCTAGGGGGTTGTTCCCTATATGGTGACATAAAAAGAAAAAAATGATGCTTTGTCAGACACCAGACTAGCCAGCAGAGGAAGCCGCCATCAACTCTGAATGCTGTCTTTCTGTATTAACTTCTATCAAAATATATCAAAAATATGTCAAATACTCCACCTAGAGTTTCAGGCAACAGTTAAAATAGTCCTCATGCAGAAATTTCTAGTCATTGTTCCTCTGGCTTCTGACCCATAGGCAAAGAGGCAACTCCCTAATCTCTAGAACCTTCTCTTGCCTCACTGTTTTAAAGTATGAGCTGTTCTCAGTAACCTCTCAGAGCTAACTTTCATTCACTACATCTAACTTCCAAATCGCATTCCAAGTACTTGGCCCTGCTGTCTGCATCCTGCAGCAATTTTAGCAGTTTAGCACATCTAAGACTAATTTCAAAGAGTAGATTTCACTGCTGTGGTTTAAATAGCAATTAAAATACTCTGCTCATAAAAAATAATATTACAAAAGTAAATTAAAAGTCTACAGACAAATTATACGATGTTACCAAAAAGAATAGAGGCTAACAGCAAAGAAAATGCCACAAAGACATAAGACAGGAGGCAGGAGAAGAAGACAGGAAACTTGGAATAACTGGAACCTTTACATTCACAATAATCTCCCTTCACTCCAAAGAAACGTGGTACATGAGAACACTTACAAAGTGATCTACAAGACACATTTTGCCCAATCCACTGTGTCACAGGCCTTTCAGTGTCCAACATCCTTTTGATGAGCATTATTAATTAACCCTCATTACTAGCAGTGAAGCCTTCTCCCTCTGCTCCAATTTGGGAAGTGATGCTATACTCCCAACCACTGCAGGCCTAAATATTTCACTCCCTGGGCACATGTTTTGCAAGGTTACTGTAAGAAATCAATACAAACTGGATTGCTTAAAGCATCAGAAATCCATTCTTTCACCGTTGTGGAGGATCCAGGTCTGAAATCCAGGTGTAGGCAGATCCAGACGCCCTCTGATGGCTTTTGGGAAGATCCTTTCCTGGCCTGATTCCTAACTTCTGGTAGGCCTTAGCATTCCTTGTCTCACAAATGTATCACCTTCATCATCACCCAGCATTCTCCTTGTATCTGTGCCTCTTCTATTCTGACAAGGACACCAGTTGTGATGGGTTTAGGACCCATCCTATTTCACTATGACCTCATTTTAACTTGATTACACCTGCAACGACCTGCTTTACAAATAAGATCACACTAATTGGTGCCATAGTTTAAGACCTGAACAAATGTTTTTTTGGGGAGACAACTCCCATAATAGCATGTGCAAAAGTGACTCGCCAGTGGAGCCAACAAAGGCACTGTGGACAGGACAGGCACATCACAGTGCCCTGCTATTCAATGCACACAACAAGGAGGCACAGAGTGGAAATGCATCTGAGGAATAATTCTCTGTAGCCAAAGACAGTAATGAAATAGGATCACTTTAAAATAAATAACAGTGAAGAGAGTGGAAAATTCAAAGTGCAATGTTGATGTTTCCCTGTTAGCCATAGGCTTCGGTGCTTTACATGCTTGATGAAGACTCAGAATAACCAACAGAGGTAAATAATCACACCTCCAAAGAAGTCCAGTGAAGCCAGAGTATAGACAGGTGAGTAGCAGCACAATGCCTCAGTGTTTCTATTTGTTTTCAGGCTTTCAAATTTTAGGTCTAGTAGACAGGTAAAGGAGTTATGCAGAGGTGTGGGCTGGGATCTTTAACAAAACACTTAACTAGCAATTGCTAAAATCCTCATAATTAAAATTTATGTCACCAAAAATATTAATAGCATGCTAATATTATATTACCATCCCAGTAGTCTCCTAGTGGTATACCAGTAGGATGTGAGATGCATATATAGTGAGCACAGTTTTCTTTGGAACACACGGTTGAATGCCGAAGATGAACAGCAATAACTGACTTTCCATGACCCATTCCAGAGGCAAAGTATCAAACATATCCCTAAATAGCCTCAGAAATGCCCATAAAGTATAACTGAGAGAAGCCTACAGGAGACATATATAGTAAAGCAAAAACAAAATGGAAAAATCCATTTGCTTGCTGGGTTGATAGCATTTAGACATCCTTAAATGAGAAAAAATACTGCATGATTTTTTTCTACTGAGCAATAATCCAAGCATGTCAATAATTCTGGAACTTTTGTGTGTTTGAGACAATCTTAACAAGCAGCAAGACCCACCACAATCCTGAAGAAAATACTCACTCAATGGATAGGGCTTTCTGCTTTAAGAATCAATAAGGAAATATGCTTATGAAATCAAATCATCTCAATTAGAATGATTCTGTACAAATCAGAATTTGGTAGACATTTTATGAAGATTTCCTGACATTCTAGTCAATATTTCCAAAGAATTTATACCTATTTTAAAATTACAAGGTGATTCTACAACTCTATTTTAATGTACACCTCAGTTCAGCATATCTCTACCTAATGAAACAAAGGTGAGTCACAGTGTAAAAGTACCCCATGTTAACAGCCAATGGGAGAGTGCTCCTACTCTGTATCCAGCAACCACTCCATTCCACTCAAAAGAAAGCTTGCTACTATAAAAGCTGGGACTTGCCAAAGGAAAGAGTCTGACTCTTCATCTGGGGCCAAGAATGGGTATAGCCATTGCCCTACACCGTGGCAGACGGCTTTCAACCCAGTTAGGTTGGAACTACCAGCCCAGCATTTGAAGGAAACGTTGTACCGTGGGCAGCAGAGCTGCAGCGTCATTCCAATTGAGTGAATAAAGTACCGAAGCTTAGAAAAGGAGAAATTACCTTTCTTTAGAAAGGTAAAGAAAACAGATTGACAGGCTAAAATGGAGTTTTCTGAGTTACTCAAAGTGAATTTACTAGAGGTCATGGGACAGAAATGAAATCGTACTTATACAGCTCAGGAAACCCAGTGGGACTCTTCTGACATCTTCTAAGCATTCCCTCACTTTAGAATGTAAGCGCATGTGCACACTCAGGTGAACACGCGTAGAGAAGAACCAGAACGAAGGACCTTCTCTCTTACCTTCCAGAGATCAGGGGATCCTTCTACAAGTTTGGCGTTCGCATGACAGTATTTTAGAGCCAACTGCAAACACTCAGTTCCAAACTCCAAGTCATAGCCACTACACTAGTGTGAAAAGGAAAACAAAGAAAAGGAGTTAACAAATGACAATACAATTTAAATAAAAACAACCCTTTTATTTCATAAACAATTGCAATCACAAGAGGAAGAGCACAGAGAACTCACAGACCATTTAATGAGCCACTGGTTATATTATAATATAAAGCAAAGCAAAACGAGAGTAAAAAGGAATGCTGCAGCCATCCCAACAGTTCTGGGTCCCTGCAATAGTTTCAGGTGAGAGGTAAATGCAATATTTTATTTCCTTTGCTCAGAAGCTACCTCTCTAAGCCCATTTATACAATGCCAGAAGCTACAGCTGAGGAATTACTATATGAGAATTCTTCATTTAGGACATTTATAGGTTAGGTTGCAGTTCTCTTATTCATTTTAATACTTAAAGCATCAATATATTCATACATGTTATTCCTGAACATGGAAACAGTCAGTCTTTCATTGTGAGAAAATAACATAAAGAATGGGGGAAGGGAATGAAAAAGAATTAAGTTGTGTTATATACATGTATGAACTCCACACAAGGAATGTAATCATTATGTACTGCAAACATGTACTAAAACAACCCTAAAAACTAAAGGGAGATGGGGATATAGATCAGTGTGGAGACCCTGGGTTCAAGCTAAAGCATAGGCCGAAAAGAAAAAAAATCAACAAAATATAATTTAAGCACTATATATACATATACACTTTTTGTACTTTTGGCATCTGCACAATGCTACCTACTAGCATGTGAGCGAGCTGTTTATATTGTGAACAGAGTTCTCTCCTTAACTCAGGGATAAATTCCAAAGATAACTAGCAATAATCATCACTTTTTCCCTCATTCCACTAAAAAGATAATGAACACATCCCTTGTTGGCCTTAGAAGTCATACACATGGTTTAAAGAACCAAACATCCCCACAAGATTTGTTATGAAAAGCCATTCATCCCATCTCTTTTATGTCACTCTTCCTTGAAGGCAGTCCTTATTCCTTCTTTTAACCAACTTCTCTACTATTTATCTTCACGTGTAACAGTCAACTTTTGCTGAGTAACAAATATGTAGAAAATTTCAATGGCATGTGGCAGCAGACTTCATTTCCACTCACATATCTGTGTGGTGGCTGAAAACACTGCTTCAGCCACAGGGCACTGAAAGGCAGTAACCGAGTACGTTTTTTTATGGCAATAAGAGCAGCACAAGAGGACAAGCCTAACAGCACAACCACGTTTTAAGGGTCCCCCTTTGTTACATCTGGTAAAAGCCCATTGTCCAAAGGAAGTCAGGCAGCCAAATCCAGAGACTAGGATGAAATACTTCATCCTCCAGGAGGCCATGATGAGGGTACCAAAGCAGAACACTTTACAGAGGATGAAACATCCAGCTCAGTAACTTACCTACCATCAACACTTTTAAATAACAGACCTTTCATACTGTCTCTGGGTGTTTCTGTTTTGTTTACAATTTGTAAATTTGTCCTTTCCAAACTCACCACAATACATACCCATACTTCTCATTCCCCATTCTTTCAATATCATAATTTTGATTAAATCAATATTGAGTGTTTACATCCTTGACTATATGAACACTACTCATAGCTGAATCACTTATTATTGAAATCCTTTCTTGAATAACTCATTGTTTTCCATGGAATTAGAGCTTATCTTTTGTTTTGATGTGGTTAGATTTCTATACGCTTATGAGTCATTCAACACCAAACACTAGCTTTTCATCCAAATCTATTTTCAAGATGTTCTAACACATGAAGCATTCCACTATTTTTATCTTCCTAAAAAGAAAAAAAGTTACCCTTAAAGTTCTCTAACCTTTTGCAATATTATCTGCGAGTCACACAGCTACCAACCAAGAACTCTCTATACCACCAGCTTGGGATAATTCTTCACCTCTATTGTATCATGGACTTTTAATTTGTGTATCCTGTGTGATCTTCTTTCTTAAGTGACTTGTTTTCCTTGAACAAACCCTCCAATAGCTTTCTATAATGTAACTGTGTTGAGAGGCTTATGGGAACTTCTAAGGTTAGTGTTTAAGACTTTCTTCTTAGACTAGCCAGATTGGCCAAACAAAACTCTTACAAGTACCAGCCAGGACAGAAAGCCAAGCCACCAGGACAGTCACACAGAGCACATTGCTCACACCTGCCTCTCTTAAGATGGTCACAGAGTGCAGAAAGTGATTTAGAGATCAGACTGCCACTTAGTCACCCTTCAGCAAACCTTCCTGATCCATTCAGTTCCTGAGGTAGTTGATGCTACCAGATCCTGAATTGTTAGAATTCTACACCAAACTCTTTACTTGCCTTACTATTTGCTTATAATCTGGCCTTCTCATATCTTCTGAGTCTGTCACTAGTAATACCCTTGCTTTCCAGCTAGTTTTTGCCAGTGTCACCTCTCTTATTCTTGTTCTTCAGTTTATGTCACTTTCTAGCAGCTTTAATGGGGGGTTGAGTAGTGAGCTAAATCACATAAATCTCTTCCTAGAAATACGAGTATGTGTATTCTAATTAGACAAGTATTCAAATTGCCTTCCATAAAGGTGTGTTTCCACTGATATTCCCATAAACAATGTGTGAAAACATGGCAGAGTTTTTAATATGAGGTAAAATAATATGACTCACTGGGACTGATAAACATACTTTGCGTATAATGCAAGTATTTCCCTGGGAAGGGATTCTACAACTTTCAGAAGCTTTGTAACACTGACAAGTTAGAAACCATTGTTTTATCATAACCATGGAATGGTCTATGGCTACAAGTAACCTGATTACATACCCTTCCAGCTTTAACACAATTCACAATACTATGTTGGCAAGGCAGCCTGGGAAGTATGCCTAACAAGGAACCACATATACATTAGAGTAAAACTAAATCAAAGGCATGTATGCACAGGTTTGTCACACTGCAGTTGGAGAGCTATGTTCAGAATATTTCAAGTAGAAACAGAATAGACTATCTTACAATTAGGTAAACAATGAACACCTGCATTCAATTTATCATCTAAAAATCAAACCTAAAATATTTTGCATACATTTACATTGTTTGAATTATGCAATACATTTTAGAATTGCATGAGAGAAAGTTGTCTAAGAAGCTTTGTCTTATTATATATCAGATCATTTTATGAACAGATAACCAAGTCAGACTAAGTCTGCATGAATCTAACAATATAGATAAAAAACCTCCATTCCATAAGACACAAAAGTACAAATGATCTGGCAAAGGACAAGATTTCTTCTTTGGGTAGAAAAATTTTAATGAGCTTAATACAATTTCATTCACAGAAGTCTTTTAAATAACTATCAGTGGGAAAAATAAACTTATAATTTATTCAAGTTTTTAACAGCCCTACCCAACCAAAATCCATTATGAACTCACAAGCAACATGATCATACCTGTCAGTTAAACATTACTTAGATTTATGTACATGTCCAAATAATTTAGAAGATATGAATTTCACCCTTAAAATTGTGTTCCCAACCATTGCTGCTGAACCACATAATCAAATATTATCAAGTGCTATAAAATGTAAGAATTTCAGTGAAATGTTTTACTCTCTCTTTTCTTCTTTAATAAAGTAAACTGATCAAAAGTTTGGCAGTAAGAGGAGGAAAAAAGATACTTCCATGAGACACAAATTACTAGCCTTTTGGAACAAAGAATTAATTAGCTATGTATCAAGTAATGTACCTAACACCAACATAAACACTGAAGGAAAAGAGTCAAAATCTTGTATCACTATCCAAAACAAGTGATAAAGCTTAGATTCTTGAGGAGAACAGTCACAAGGCTTTTTCAATGATCTCATCAAAAGGCTGTAAGAATCTGAAATCATCCACAAGATACAGAGAAAAGATGGCCCAGATTCAGAAATTATTTCAGTAACAACAGGAGTGGTCACATTATTAACCACATTGGATGATGTAGTAAAAAAGAAAAAATGCATTGGTCAGGCTAGTGGTTCAGATATAAATTAACAGTAGCACATCTAGTAAAAAATTCTCATAGGCAATTCAAAATATATGACCATTATTTATGGAAGAAACATGAAAAGGAATGATTGGAAAAATTAGAGAACATTTACTCATTTACTGAACAAATAATTCTGGGAAGTTTACCAGGCAAGATAGTTGAGAAGGATGAGTAAGGTTGCAAAAAAAACCAAACAAAACAAAAACTCAAGATCACCACAGTAGAGGTGTGTTTACACATTGGGGAAACTGATGAGTGTGGTCCAATGATTCTTCGTAGACCATGTCTTCTTAAAAAAAAAAAAAAAAAGATACATTAGATACAATATAAATTGTACCGGAGTTAAAATGAGTTTAGTATAAGCAATTAAAACTGTAACAATCTGCTTTAAAACCTAGTCAGAAATCATCTCAAGTCTTTTATTGACCAGGTTCCCACTTTCTACACAAACAGTATCTTGCAGACTTACTCCTTATACTAATGTTTAGTACCTTCTACCTTCTCTCTAGTTCATGGTTCATATATTTTCAAACCTTTCCTGCAAGTCTTTCCTTTTGCAATCTAGCTCCCACAGCATCAACTCTTGACTAAAATGTTTTCTATGAAACACTATGTAGGTCCTCAGCTTTACAAATATCTTTTCTCTGTTCTCTACAGTTTATGCTCTCAAGCATGAGAGATATCATAACAGAAAGAAAAATTAAATTTGCCCAAATAACTAGATCATTAGGTGAATGCTAATCAAATACAGCTTGTCTACAATAAAACAGAGATATAGATATATCCAACAACATGGATGAATCTCAAAATTATGTTTTAAAGCAACAAGCATAACAAAAAGATCACTTGATTTCACTTGTACGACCTTCTAAAAAAGGAAAACTAAAGAACAGATTAATGGTACCAAGGACATTCTGGTATAAAATCAACCCAACCTCAACAGGGCACAAAGTAGCTTTGTGGGGTGATGGATACATTCTTTAGGTGGATTGAGTTAAGGGTTACAAGAATGTG